AGTCTATTATATTTAATGATTTTAAAGTTACGATTGAATTGATTTATATTATTTATAGAGATTATTTATAGCGTACTAGGTCAATTTTGAATTAAATGCTGTCATATATATATATATATATAAATTAAAATGTAATTAGTTAAATAATTTACAGAATTACTTACTATTTATATTTTATAGTATAGGATAATATTATTTATTACAAGTAAAAATATTTTCACCAAGAAAAAAGAAAGAGAAAAAGAAAAGAAAACATGTGCCGAGCATTTGACAACATAAACTTACAGTTGTTCATCTGAGGTTAAAAAATATTTTTTATCTTTCTTTATTTTTCTAAATATATCTTACTTTCATTTCATTTGCTTTTCTGAAATACTAATATTTTGTCATTCTTTTTTCATCCCCCCTCCCGCCACCACTCATTTACTGTCTTTAACATCAAAAAAAAAAAAAAACAAAAAAAACAAATCTGGAAAAATACCGTAGCTTAAAAATAAAGAAGGTTTTAAAAAGGATATAGAAATCACACTTCTACAAGACGATCGTAAGAGGCTTAAGCTACACTCTTAAGGATGGCCTCGATTGCTCGTTTAAATCAACACGCTGCTGCTTTACTCGGTAAGAAATCAGGAGGTTATTATCTTCGATACATAATTATATAGAATATGAAAAGAGGTTTGAAAACCATGAGAAGAACATTCAGACTTTTATTTTATGTTTTTTTTTCGTAGAATCATTTTGGTCTTTTGCGATAGTTATTTGCATTTTAAATTTGTATTTAAGTGATTGTAAATGAAATGAGATTAAATTCATTTGGAGATTTTTAATATGACCTTCAATAATATATTTGATAAATTTGCTAACCTCCAAAAAAAAATAAGCTCTATGTTGCTATTCTTGAAATTTATACATCTATAAAAAATATTATATAAGATTAAAATTATTTCAGTATACAATTTATATTATTTTTAAGCAATTGATCAAAATGTATCGGTGAATATTTTGTGTAAAGTAAATTAAATGAAGTAGTTCTTAGTTGAAAATCAACGGAAAAATCGAATTCACTATTAAAAAGATTGAATTAAATTCTCTGAACCTTAATTCCATTACACAGGTAATAACTTTCAGCATGCTTTGGCTTGCCACAAGATCAAAGTAGCAAAAACGTTGAAATTTAAAGCTTTTTACTAACCAAAATCTCAGTGACCGAGTCAGTATTTAGTTTATTTTTATGTCTATTATATATATTCTATAGTTACTTCACTTTCTAATTAGATTTTTTTATATATACAAAATTTTTAAAATTTGGAAAGTATTATTTAAGAAAGTAAAAGTTGTATTATTTATATTTTGTTTGAGTATTTATTATTTATTAAGATTTTCATTAATAGATAATCAATATTATTTCTACATATGTATAAGCTAAGAATTTTATGAAAGAACAAATTATTTCTAAAGAAAATTGTTAATATTATTGCATTAAAATTGAATATATGCATCTTGTAATAATAATTAATAATTTTCGTATATAATAGAATACAGCTACTCAGTTGGCTAATTGGAACAGGAAATTATTTATTCATTAATTCGAAACTTTGCATGCAGTGAAATTGAAGTAGTCATAATTTTTACAACTTGTGTACTAATTTTTACTCTTTGAAACTCTTTGCCATAATCTAACGCGTAAAATATAATATGTATACCAAGATAAAGTCTTCGCGTAAATCGTTGTCCTGCTGTTTTTACTAAAGCCAAGTTACACTGAAGAGATTCTACTGTTCCCCTTGGGTAGTTGTGATATAATTCAAAGTTAGATCTAGAGATATGTACGAGATGCAGTATTCATATATAAGAAACTAAATATGAGAAAGTACAACATATGCATTGTGTATAAAGGATAGGACATATAACGTAGAGCATGGGTATAATGAGAGTCTTCAAACTAACTTGCTATATTCTAGACAGATATTTACTATTGCAAGATGCCAACGTAGTCATGTTACTTATAAAGCCATATATACTTCATATGGCCATGATTTTTATCAAAACTAAGATAAAAATAACCAAATCTTTTATATAAAAATATTCTCCTTAATTTAACGTATATTTCTGAAATATTTTCGTACTCTGTAAATTAAAATTCTTAACATCAAATGGGTCAAAGTAAACTTTTAATTGATTTAGAATTTAATAAAATAATATTAATACCGTAAAATACATTTATTGCGAATAATTTACTTCTAAAATATAATTATTACATTGTTTTTTTATTTAATCAACACTGTTTGTATTCTATATAGAGTTCTCCATAGAAGCATTTTTATTTTGAAAATTAAAAAACATGTATACGAAAATGTATAAGAAAAACAATATTTTACAAACTTAATATCTACGAAAAGGTAAATAATAATGATATAATATATAAAGTAATTATCACTGTTTGTTCGATTTTAAAGGTTTAGTTTATGGCTCGAACTACCAATTCAATAGTTCAATGAATTAGTCTCTCGGCAGGATAACTTTAAAGGAAATAATAAGTGACAAGGCTAAAAAATATCATGTATTTAGTAAAACAACGTTTATTATTTGTTAATAATTATAATAATACTGCAAGGCTGTTGAGAAAGAAGTATTCTATTGTAGTACTGAGAGTGTGGCCTTGTATTCTTGATTATCGTAGATTCTATGAATATTACTGTGTATCTTGTAATTGAGGTTATGATGATGTTGTAAATTTCAGCTGGTGTAGTCAGTCAATCATGCTCATGAGGTAGCATGAAAAGATGGTAGTTGAATCAAGTACACTTGATGTATGAATAACTATACTTGATATGGTGTAAAATGTTTAATGGAATTTATTAAGTAATCAATTGTGTCTTTAATTATTTATGGGGACAGTAGAAGAATCTAGTCACAGGTAAGAGCGGATAATGGTAAGGTTTTGAGTTCTTGAAGGATTTGATAATTTGTATTTATATAGTCTATTAGTCGATCTGTTGTTGTACTTCTTTGACAATATGCTTGACCAATTGCGTCGCTTGAGTCGATTCTTGTGGGCCTGTACGGGGTCGAAGCGTTGGTCCGACCGAGAGAGAGACCGTACGGAGTCGAAGCGTTGGTTCGACTGAGAAAGACCGTGAGTTTACCCGCTCTATTGATGTGGGTCTGTACGGGATCGAAGCATTGGTTCGATCGAGAGAGACCGTACGGGGTCGAAGCGTTGGTCCGATCGAGAGAGAGACCGTACGGAATCGAAGAGTTGGTTCGACTGAGATAGAATATCAATTGCCAGATTTATTTTTGTGCGAGGTGTGACTAGCTTATTATTTATATAAAAATGTACCTTGTCAGCTGCAGACAAGGTGTGTTAGTTGCTGCGTAATTGATATCTCCTTTGATTACTATTCCGATTGGCTTCACTGTAAATCGCTACTAAATCTGCCGATTTCCTTTTAATAATGAACAGGTATATTATTTACTAGGTTGCCGAATTTATGGCCACGTGTCGTCGTCACAATACATAACTGAGCGGCAATTACATTTTAGTGAGTGCGATGTAAGATTACGTTGAGCATCGCCACATGGCGAGCTGCCCTTAAAAATATGCACGCAGCGGATGCAACGCCGGCAACAGTGCCACAGCGTATCGTCATACCGAAAAGTCTTTGTGGCGTTAGAAAATGAAGCTTCTTGAAGCTTCGTAGGAGTTTGTGAGATCTTATAGTATATTATATTTCAGATCGTAAAACTTGCTCGGACTTGTCGAGTTTTTTTTATAAACATTCAACCCGAGCACGCGTCCCGGTCCGAGCGCGCGTGCCGTGCGCCGTACAGCGCGTATGACCCACTTTTTTTTTAAATTCGTGGAACTGCGTCAATCCCGAACACTGTTGTAGATAGATTGTAATAAACTATTATTGTAAGGTTTATACTGTATTATAATTATTAAAATATATTTTTAATTATTTTACATTATTTTACATTAATATTTTAATGTATATCAATGTACAATTATATTTAATAAATATTCTACATTAATAAAATTTAATGCTATAATTTATTGTTTAGATATTAATAATTATAGGTTATTATGTTAAGTATTTCTAAATGTTTAAATAATTTTAATTAAAATAATTTCCTTTTTATAGTTTCAAATGAAATTTTCTAATTCATAAAATTTGTTAATATTTTATCACTATAAAATACTATAGTCAAACTATAATTAAACAGTTAATATCAATTGTCAATTTTATATTATATTACAAGTTTTACATGGTTATTACATTTTGTTTTATTTGTATCATTAGCTTAAATATACTAACCGAAGAAATTGTTTAATTTTAGTTAATATTTATGTAGCTAATATTAATGAAAACTTTTCGATAAGTGGGAAAGCAAATTGTTATACAAATGCAAGTTTAAAATATTAAGTTTAACAAAGATATATCAAACAACTACTATTAGCTCCTACTTAATAATAGCAAAATAATTTATTCGGTAAATTAAATTGATATTGTTTTCTACAACAAATTAATTTAAAACATATACAGAAATTTGTTTTACATGGCTCTATTACACATTACAATATAATGTCCGGGTAGTGTTACGAAATTGTAAATTCCAAAAATCTCAGTTACTTCATATTAGATAATACCTATAGATTGAATTTAAAAGATTGAGCCTTGAAAAATTAAAAAATTCAATATAAATTATATATTGATTATTATTAATTCTTGCATATAAAAGTCTTAAAGAAATGAATAGGTGGAGAAAATACAAGATTAATTATTCAACATAACTAATAATTACTCAATCTAACGCATCCATAAAATAAATCAACAATACAAATATGCGCCGCAGATTTATAATATATATAAATATTTTATTATAGTTTTTACTAAAATCACTCATCTTGAAATATGGTAATATATATATAAATTTATATTATAACTTTAATCCATATATTCTATAAATATAAGATTTCAACTTATGAAGCAAGAATGCAAAAAGGTATTAAGAATATTAATTTATTCAGACTAAAAGAGAATTTTTAATTTACGCCTAAATAGTTTCAAGTAAAACTTATAAATTCAAAATTTTTAAAACTATAAATTATGGTTGTGTTATTGCCTTTTCAAATTTTCATTTGAATAATAAAATATACGCAGTCAGGGTGAATTTAAGTTTAATACAATTATAATAATAAAACTGTATTTGTGTAGATGTTTAAAGGAAAAATTTGTATTTGTAAATATTTTAAACTAAAGATGATACAATAGATTATCATAAAATATTATAGTAATAAATAAAAATGGTTATGTATACATATATAATATTCCTCACAAATATTTAAATCCTTTGTATCTATTATTAAATAAGTAGACTTATTTTATCGCGAGTCTAACAGTTAATTCCGTTCTTTTGTATAATTTTAAATATTATAACTTATTTCACTTATGCTTTATTATAGTCAATAATCAAAGAGTAGTTAGTAAATAAATCATTGTTAATAAATAAATTGTTTAATAGATTTGTTAATTATAAAATTAAATTACCTAAATTGTTTATCCATATACATTTAAATATACGATAAAATTACATATATGTATATATGTATCGTTTTAATATCATTTTTATTACAATTTGTTTATAATTATAATTTCATTTTTATGTCCATTATTTATATAAATATAGTCCTTTGGATAACTATAACTGATTAAAGCCCTTTTATTTCATGTACAATTACATATACGGGTTTAATTGATTATATTTACTTTAAGGACTATATTTATATAAATAATTGATATAAGGATAAAATTGTAGTATATATATATATATATATATATATATATATATATATATATATATATATATACCAATTCTTATTATTAATATGACTCTGAGTATTTTTATAAAAGTACTAAAAAGTTTGTTGATTGGTGATAGCAGGTAATTTTAATATTGTAGCGTCAACAGTTGGCTTTGCAGTTGGCGTAACACTTGGCTGGAATTCACTGGCAGGTCTTGCCCTGAGTTCAGCCATTGGCTGGGATTCAGTGGACGTTTCCGACGTCATTTGTATTGTCAGCGCAGGTGCTGCCGTTGGATCTCTGTTAATACCTGCAGTTTTGTCAAATACAAAGAAGCTGCCGCGTAGATTCAAGAAAGGCGCGAATGGTCCTCTAGTTTTTGCGGCTGTACCGCTTCTTATTTTAGGCTGGATTTTAATTTATTTAGCTGATTACTCGGTATGTATGATATAAACAAGTTAGTTTATTATTAATTATGATTCATGATTTATGATTGACTTGTTTATCGGCTTTATTGCAGTAAATATATCTGATAACTAAAGAAGTGATAATAATAAAACAAGAAACTTCTATTTATAATTAGATCTTTTAATGAATTTAATAAGCTAGCAAGCTTCGTACAATTTCTTGAATTAAAATTAAATTAAATACATTGTATAAGACAAATTTCGTATAGTTTCTCGAATTAAAATTAAACTAAATGCTAAATATTTCAATTTGGTGAAAAAAAATTTTTAAGATTTTTTATAGGTACTATGAAAATATATAATATTGTGGTTAATAAATGTTTTGTATCCAGTAAGTATTAATTTCAAACTTGGATGTAAAAATATTAGAAACTATTATGTAATTAAAACAAAAATCTATAATAGGTAGATGATAAATATTTTCTGCAATCTTATATTAAGTCTTAAATTCTATTCTCATTTCAATCTTTTTATTTGAAATTTCTATTTCATGAAATCTATGTTTAATATTGAGCAATGATTGATATCTCAGATCATTGAAGGGTGATTGGTTTAAAGTTCAGTTAAAATAGAAATTACAGGTAGCTGTACTAATGACTAGCTCAGTTTTAAGGCAATACGATTGAGCGTACAGTTGCAGTAGTAGAATTATTACGGTAAAATCATATTAATTGCTACAAACTTGGTTCCATATATGTTAGAATGTTATCGTATAGCTTTGACTTCAAAGCTCTATGTGATTTTTTTTTAAATTACTCAGAGATATTTGACGAACATATCGCGATTTTTCATTTCTCTAAGCTCATTATTTCAATATTGAATATATTCTTACAATAAATATATTCATTAATTTTATATGAAGAGTGAAATACTGTCGTAATTCTAATGTTTTTACATTGAATGTTATTATTCGTTGCTCTTTTTTTTAATATGATTTGGCTTTTAAATATTTTTATTATCAATATTATAAATGGAATTAATTTTTTTATAATTTTTCTTTTTATTATTCGTATCTATTCAGATTTATTGCAGAGGTCAATACATATGAAATTTTATAAATTAAAAATTTTTTATTATTTTTTTATTTGAGCAATTGGTCTCTCATAATATTAAACTTAATAAATATAATAAAGTCGATGATTTCAAACATAATCGTTATAAAAAATAATTGTAATTTAAATACTGCTTAACTTTATTGATAATATGTTTTACTATTAACGTACGTTCGGTATAAAACGAATATACGAAACATATATAGGTGCTTTGTTTATTCAGCACATATATGGATATGTATTTATATCTATATTCATTCTTATGCATACCTATAGCTACACGCTTGCATGTATACATTGAATCGCCTTCTGGCAAAATAGGAGAGCGTGTCAAAAAGTCACTCTTGGAGATCGGAAGTCGCGTCGATAAACTTCATCTGAAAAAGAAGAAAAATAGGAGTGTATAAAAAAACAATTTTACATAAAAAAAGAAGAAAGCCTATTGAAAAACCTGGCTCGCGCTTTATAACATGCAAGGAAAAAACTTATATATAAAAAGAAAATGGAAAAAAAAGAGAATAAACGAAGAATGCGTTAAATGATGTAGTTTGGGTAACAAATCAGTATAAGAAAATAAAGAGCACGACATAGCATATTTAAACTCGATTGCCCTCAGTTAATTAAAGAGGACCAATCACTGTAGCTGACCGAGAGATCTTAACTTGCAAGTGCTGAGTGCACTCCAGTTTATACACGTCGCGCACGCTCTGTAAGCGGGAGAATTCGCAGCTGTAGGCCGTGCGCGTAATCACGATGCACATGTGAGTATTAACTACCTCGTGCTCGTATCCCTTCCACCTCTCTTTGAGGTGTAGTTACTGTACACAGTATTGTATTAAATGCGATCCTTCCTTTGCCTACGGAGTAAGAGGTGTTACGGAAGTAACTTTTCCTCTAGGTACGGAACTATACTCACACAGATACTCAAACAGTTCTGGATGACATTTGATTATTCTTATGGTTAAATTGCATTGAAAAATTTTAAACCTTACTTCTTGCTAGTATTATTGAAAAATGAAACTGAGTTTTGCGAAACTCATTACGTAAATTCAGTTATCGGATACGTTCGCCTTGAATTGAATAACGATATTCTTTATCCTAAGACTTTTAATTGTACTTTATTTATCTCATTTATAACATATATCTTGTTAAAAAGCAGATATACATTTAGATGGCATTTCTCAATAATGCACCGCATTGGTCCCTGTTTATACAGAATGTACCTGTTTTCTATTAAATTTCTTTGTTCGTTTTCATTTTATGGCTCTTCGTCCTTTACATTGATTAAATCAATGGCAAATATATAACACCTTCTGATTGTAATTTGACTAATGAAATCAGTTCTTAATTTCTGTAAATTAAAGAATAAATATTAATAAAATATTCAAGATTATCAACAATTGCTATAATGTTAAAATATGTAAAATGCATCTCATCTTAATCGTAATGACTTGGCATACTTTTGTGGTCTAATATTTATAAAAACAGTTTTATGTTCTTGTGTAAAGCGAACTAATTTTTTGACCTCATAAAAAAAGTTTGTGGTGGCTTTACTGATACTCTCAATGAAGGATTTTTTATTCTCATTTCTATATAAGTTAGTTGGGCACACTATATAATTGTTTCTGTAATCACCGAATCGCCTTCACTATTGGTCGTTACCATTATAATCTACCAAACAAAACACGAACGATGCAGTTTATTAAGATTTAATTTCAAATCGAGATTAATAGTATAAGAAGGCAACAAATAATTAAATAAAAACTATATTACATAAGCATCAGGAATTTATTGTCCAATTACATTGATTTGTTACCGGCTGAATACAAATTTATCTATTCTTACGTTTAGTTGAAAATAAAGTATTTTCTATTTTCCTCTCGCACTGTTTTACTTTTATCATTGGCTTTTATTCTCCGTGTTTCAGAAAAGTTAGAGATTTCAAATCTTGTCAGACACTGATATATATTGTTAATCCCGAAATCTTCTCTTAACTAAAATAATAAATCATATCAGAAACTCAGCACTATCTAAAAGTCTATAAGGTTTCATTATGAATTCACACTTTATATATTCGATTTTTCGATTTTTAATACATATAATACAATGTATTAAAATCATCTTTGATTTCTTGTATTTTCAATATATTACATATTACTTTATATTAAAATAATAAAGGTATAATTAAACTTCTGGCATATAAAAAAATTTAAAGAAATATTTGAAACTAATTTCACAGCTATTTGCATATAAGCATTTTGCCTACTTTTCTTTTTACTATAAATTTTAATTAAAAATTTATTCTTTCAAAAGCCTAATCACAAATTATATTAATGCTTCTGTACCTAGAGTTATTATAACTTTTGTATAAAAATATAACGTAATTCTAATTGTAAAATCAATATATATGATTTATATATATAAATAATCGAAAATGAAAACAAAACTATAGTGGTATAATGAAAGTTTTATAATTGAACTAATTACATTAATTAAAAAATTTTGTCACTTAATTTTATTCCATTTCATGCCAAATATGAAATTAAACTTCTATTTGTGACGTAAAGAAATACATTCATTAAAAGTAGATGTTACAGGATGAGATTAAACAGATATTGTAAAATTTATTTAATGAATTAGATAGAAAATTTGATTACTGTGAAATCCTATTAAATTGGTATTTATAATATTAAATTAAATTTAATCAAAATGATTTAATTTTCAGCTGTTTTCAAATGTTTATTTTTCATCAGAAGAAGCATGAAATCTAATAAAAATGATTGTATTAGTGAAAGATTATTATTATTATGCTATTACAGAGCACATAAGATCTTATATTGAAAATATTTCGCATTCGCTTTACTTGTAATAAATCATATCAAAATTATCATAAAAATATTTCAAATTAATATTTACCTATTGGTATACAATGTAATTTTTTAAATTACTATCTCATATTACTAAATTTATAAAATATTTATAAAATGCATTTATTCTATAATAGTATTTTTTTAAATATAACATAGGTTTATAGTATGAAAATAAATCTTAAAATTGATTTAAATTATAATATATATTGTTTAAGTAATAACTTACTTGAAAATAATTATATGTTATATTCATATTATTCCGATTCCGTTCAATTTTCTTGGTCTATTTATCAAAATTTATTCACATCGAAGTAAAAAATTTCACATGCTGCAATCTATTTACAACATAAAAAATTACTTTCTTATGTATTAAAAAAATATCATTGAATATATACAATCTATATTATTGTAAAAATTTGCATAAATATAAATTATTTCTTGTTAACATTTTTTCTTAAAATGTCTCTATTTAAATAATTTATTTAAATACATAAATTTAATCACGTAAATGATTTAAATGATTGTAAATCAAAAGTAACTGTAATTTTGTAGTATGTCAATTCTATAAGTTTGAATAATAATAATAAGAAGAAGAAGAAGAATAAGATGTTTATCTATATGAATATAATTAAAACAAAAATATAATTTATTATTTTTAGAGTAATTTATTTTTATTTCTCTATAGTTAAATGTTTCACTATGGATTAATACTCTGTAATTTCGAAGATTGAATGGAACTTTAAAAAGTTATTTTAACTACGAAAACTGAAAAATTAATGAAATGAAATGGAATTTATTTGTAGAATAATATAAATATATTAATTTTTTTAATAATATAAATATATTTATTTTTTTAATAATATATAACTATCTTTTTACTCAAAATCATATTTTTATTAAATTAAGTAATAATTTTTTATATTAGACTGAATTATAGTTAAAGAAAATTGTGTTCTTGCGGTTAATATATCTTTTATGTAAACACGAAAGAGTATTACAAATATTGCTAAAGTCGTTGTTTGTATTTTTGTAAAGAATGGATTAATTATATTTTATTAATATTGCTTTACATAAATAACACTTAAAAGAAGTTTAAAGTGCACACGAAGTATTATTCTATGTAGTATGTGTTATTACACTTTCATAATTTAAAGTTCGAAATATTTAAGCTTCAAAATGGCAGATAAAATATGGCTCGGTTGACTAAACTCGTCGATTATGTCAAGAGAAAACGTGTTAACCAAGAGCAATTTATAAATATCAATTTCCGTCCATCGCAAAAAATGTCCGAAGCACGTGTGCACTTCCTTCTGTTATGCCTGACTTTAAGATTTTGACAGAAATTGGTCCCTTGTTCGACAGTATCGAATGCTGATGGTGGGCCGAGTTGTGAGTGGCCTTGGTATCGGAAGCGCCTGCGTCCTTGTGCCCCTTTACATCGGTGAGATTTCGAGTAACGATGCTCGGGACACTCTCCTGGCCTACTTCCATGCTATGCTTACCGGCGGCATATTTTGTGCGTACGCGATCGCAGCCTCGCGGAGCTACGGAGACGATGTTGACGTCCTACCTTTGTCGCGCTACAGCCTTTGCTGCGCTCTGGCATGTCTGCCAGGGCTCCTCTGTTGCGCAGCACCCCCGAGTCCCTACCAGCTGATGATGGCGACGCCCGATGGCGGCGAAGAGGCCGCCAGAGAGGCGCTGCAGCGGCTCGACAGCAGTCGTCTGGTGGGGCAGGCAGGAAAGGAGGCGCTGGACCGGGAAATCGAGCGAATGCGCACGCTCGCTGTGCCGCGGGTAAATCGACCCCTCGAGGCTAGTCTAGTCCGAGGCTTCTGCTTTCTTTTTCTCTTCTTTTTCTATTTTGTCGGTTTTTTTATCTACCGTCTTGGTCTTTTTTCATTAGCCATCGACTGCCGTTGATGGAGTACCTTTTGCTCCAAGCGGTGGAATACGAATTTTAATGATTCTTTCGTCGAATATTCGAAATCAATATTTTTAGTTGACTGCGGGTGATTTCTCTATTGGGGTAAATATCGCTTATTTGGTCAATGGTTATTAGTGTGGGTAACAGAGAATTATTGAGAATATTGAATTAGTTGATATTGATAAAATTAGTTATTATTTATCTAAATATTGGATTGACACATAAAAATGCTTACTATAGCGTTTGAATATAGCTATGTAACAAATAGTATTGTTCCAAATAAAATGAGTATTGGTTGACCTAAATCTAACTACGTATAATCTTTATATCCTTCTCTGAAAAATAAAAAATCCGGCTTATATTTAAATTAATTTAAAAGCCAATATACCGTATATTTATTTATATTAATAATTGGATCTTACAAATTTAAAGATAAATGATGCCTTTAAAAATCTGCAAAGTCAAAAAGCTTTACATTTTTAAATATTAACAAAATACATTCATTGTAAAATTTTAATATAGACAATGCATTTTAAAAACTAAAATATATTCAGTGTATACGACTTTTCTGTATATATGTATACATAAAAATAATAATTTTTAAAAATTACTTAATGAATTTGAAAAAGTGCTTGTCACTTTATTATTATATTTGTTACAAACGATAAAGTTATTTCCCATTCTATGCTTGCTGTGTATTCATTTTCATTTATTATTATATCTTAAATTTCTGTTCTTATAATACATTACAATATAATTTAATAAAGAAAATTTGAATTTATCTTTTGTAATACAGCTGGTAACTATTTAATAAATTTGAAATGATTTAAAATAAAATTTAATTTTTAATCGTCATTCTAATAATTTTCTTATATTTATGATAACAAGTAGGAATTCGGCAATATTAATATTCTTTGTCAAATAACTAACATAAAATACTAGTGGTTTTTATAATTCAAAATATATTTTTATAAATCGTTCGTACAAATGTATGGTTAATCACAATTTAATTTTAAATATAAAGAAAATGTAGCTAAGCTTTACAATTTTGTATATAATTTTCATTCTAAATTATTTAAGTGGCATTTCTGAAGTAATTTTAAATATTGTTTGCTCCCACATATATTTTATTTAAGAAAATTTATAAAATTAACGATTTACACATGCAATACATTAATTTTTATACTATTCATACTCAATAGTAATTTTCTACGTGTGCAATGTATATTAATCGATATAAGAATAATAAAGCAAAAGATAAATAAATTATATTTTGTAAAGTTTTTCAACTATTTATTGTAACTTTATGTAATTATGTCCTTAATTTAATATATATTCATATATTAGTTTAATTATTAAATATAAATAATACTAACATTTGAATATTAACATTTTATTTAAGGAGTTGAGAATTGCTTTAATTATTAAACAGTTCATAGAGTCTATAATGTTATTTATAAGATTCTTGTAACAGCTACTGCGACAGATACACAATAATAAAATTTAGATAAATACGCAACAATATTTTTTGCGAAATCCAACGTAAATTTTTAAATATCCATTACATTGTTTTGGCGTCAGGCAAAATAGAATAGAATAGTTAAGTTCTAATTTATAATTATATTTCCATTTAAAATCTATTATGAAAAAATACATTGTTAAATTCTTTGAAAAGAGACTACCTACTTCTGTATATATATTTAATGTTTTTTAAGTTATTTAGTCATATAAATTAAAATAGGTGTAGTACAGAGTTATATTACGTTTAGCAAAGCGATCCGTATGAATTTACATTAAAATCAGTGATTGAGCTAAATATGGACGTATAATCTTCAGCTAGAGACAATAATAGTATTTTGGATTCTTTCATGTAATAATCGGGAAAAAAATAATCTTAGTAATTAATATTCATTTCAATCTGAAGATTAGCAATTAACTCAATAAAAAATATTAGCTTAGATGAGTTAATATAAATAACATTTATTAATATCAAAAAATAAGAATATATACACATATATATATGAATTCTGATGTATTTCTGCTATATTTCAGTATTATTTAAAATTAATTTCAAAAAAATTAAAACATATTTTTTCAGGCAAAGTTAAAAGTGCTGAGAAACAAAAGGTTTTGGGGTGTTTTTTCGACTGTTACTTGCATTATGGCTTGCCAACAACTGAGTGGTGTAAGTCCTATTATCTTTAATGCTTTAATGCTTTTCGATTTGGCTGGTTCAAACCGGTTATTATCAAGTCAATTAAGCCTTATTTTCGGCTCCATACAAATAATTTTCTCAATATTGGTTCCGCTACTTGTTAAACGTCTCGGACGTCGAAAGTTGCTATCCATGTCATCTACAATCATGGGATGTACTTTACTTTTATTGGGTACGTATATTTGTTTCACCAATGACGGTATATAACTCTAATTGCAAAAGTTTGATAGTTGTAGATGGTACATAATACAAGAAATTAAGTATATTTTAGAAAAATTATAATTATATATTACATGAAGTTTTTAAAGTATTAATTATTATTTATTATAGTTAGAATGTATTTATTACATTCCAATTATAAAACAATAAATTACATTTTTATGTAACAATATTATAAATTCTATTATATTATATAATATAATAATGTTTTATAAGTTCAATATTATTTTAATATTATTTTAAATAAATAAATATAATTTATTTGATGCATATAGATATAAATTTTTTGTTTAATTTATTAATTAATAATAGATGCATAAAATAGTAGTCAGATATGGTTGAAAATCTTAATAGGTTTTTAAACTAAAAATATTGAATTAAATAGAAAAAAATATATAATTTTTTGTTGAATTATTTAAATGGAATACGATCATACATATTTAGTGAAAAAAGATAATTGTGATTGTAAATGTTGATAATTTTTCTAAAGTTATAATACTTGTAACACATCATATATATTTCACATAATATGTAACTTTCAAGTAGAAAATTATAATATTTATAAAACATTTATTGTATCATTATTTTTAACTGTATTATAAGTAATAAACAATAATTATTCAAGATGAATCGAAATAATATTAATCTGTTAAATTAAAGTTCATCCGTTCGTAGTTCTAAGTGAATTTTATTTAATACTCATATTCTTCGTTTACATTATTGATAAATTTAATAGGTTCATACATAAAAGGAAAAGACACAGTTTTTGAATCAAATAATATGAATTCCTGGATATTGCCAATGTCGTCAATTGCTGTTTTCATAACATTTTATAATATTGGAATTGGTCCTATATCGTGGTCTTTATTAGCAGATTCATTTCCTTTCGAGGTAAAATATTTAACTGCATCGATAATTGGTAAGTGAATTTTCTTTACAAAAATTAAAAATGAAATTCTAATATTCTATATATAATATTCTTCTGTATATACAGAATAAAATATATACTTAAAAATAATTGGGTTAAATATATTTTATATTAATTGATAAATATTTAGAAAATAAACATGTTTGTATTTAAATTATTTTAATTTTTTGTATAAATCAAGCAATAATAAAGAAACTGAATCGTACTAGATAATATACGTATTAATGTACACAAGTTACTTTCTAGATATATTTTACTTTTTAATGTAAATATATATATATATATATATATATATATATATACGTTATATTAACACCTTAATTTCTTGAAGTGATTTTTAAAATGATTTTAATAATTAAAATATAATATTTAAATCTATGAAAATCTATTAAATTAAAAAAAAAACTTATTAACTAGGGCTAAATTGTTTGCAAAATTAAGTAAAGAAAATCAATTTTTATTCATGGCTTCACTATACTTCATACAAAGATAAAATATATTGTATAAAGTTAAAAAATACTCGTTCAAGAAAAATACCTATGAATGAAAAAGTATCCATAAACAATTCTATGATCTTATACTAAGTACAATAATTAATAGTTTCTACTTCAAATTTTTAAATTTTTCAGTTTTTAGGTACCTTTATTACTGAAATTAATAGAATATTGTTAAATTTTTAAGACAGTAGAAGAAAATTGTTTTTAATAATATTTTACTATTTCTATATTGATTATAGTTGGAATTGGCTGGTCTTTGTGCTATGTATTGAACTTTTATATTACTACATTGATGATGAACTTAGGCGTAACCGAAACATTATGGCTGTTTATTGTATTCTCCATACTTAACACAATAATTTCTCAGATTTTTCTGATTGAATCAAGAGGAAAAACGCTGACGGATATTCAGGATGAGTTCGTAATTGATTAATATTGTATATCAGACTTACGAATGACAAACATATATTTTAGATATTTTAATTTATACCTTGTTCATTTTCGATAGTCTGTTATTTTTCGATGTTATTAACATACAATGTTTATATATTATTAAATAAGTGTATAATAATGTATTATGAGTAATAAATATATGGAAACAATTATAACAAATATAAAAGTATTATCACTTTTCTTTTTGATGATTGACGAAGATGCTTGATTCATTTTCTTATGTCATAGAAGTATGTCATACGTACTTTTATTTTTTATATTTATTAATAATTCATGATAATATTGAACTAATAGGTTAGTAGTTTTGGCGATGATAACTAATGAAAAATCATTAAATTCGTTTGAAATAAATATTAAGTATAATAATTTTATCTAAATTGAACTTTTAAATCTTATATTAAAAATATTATCTACAATATAATAGTTGATAATAATGCATTCACAATTTTTCTTCATGAGAAGTCATTTTATAATTATGATAATTTTTTATGAAGTAATTGCTTGTTTCTCATTCTGAATTATGTTCGTAAAATTTTTTATAAAATAACTTTCTTATATTCATATTTTATGCTTTTATGCATCAAAGTTCAGAGTAAATGAAACAATGTATATATTTATTAAATAAAGAATGAATATTGTATGAGTAAAAACTCACATATGAATTAATATAAAATTTATTTTCCATACTTTTGCTATTCAATTTATATGCAAAACTGTATTTTTTATATTAAGAAATTTTATAATAGTTACTTAAATTAAAAGAAATTAAAAACGTTTTCTTAATTTAAAGTTTCCTTTAATACAGTTTTGATTTCCGTAATCTGTTATGAAGTTTACAAATATTTTAAAACTACATAAGAATCATAAATCTGTTAAGCAGAATTATTTTATTATTTTATATTTTGAACATAAGAATATTTCACAGCACATATCAATAATGTTATGTTATATAAATGTATATACATTCTTACATATTACTTCAATTCATTACGAATTCGCTAAAAATATAAATTTTTCAAATAATATAATTAATACTTTAAATTTTAATATTAATTTTAAAAAATGGAGTATGAATTATATAAATTTTCTATAAATCTATAGTTATAATACAAAATACAGAAAATAGTAATTAGTTTTCTTTTTATAAACAAAAATAAAAAGAATTTAAAAATATCAATTTCAATAATAAAATTTAATTTCCGGAAACGATTTTTTAATACATAATAAAACATTTGTTAAAAAGTTGAAATTTTTTTTAGCAAATAGTAAAAGAAAAATATAATTCTTATCGAAATAAACCACCAAAGGAATTATAATAAAAGAATAAAAGAATCGTGTAATTAATTCAGTAATTTATGTAAGTCTAGATTATTATATAATAGGTGTAAAATTGCGAACAATAAAGCTATTTAAAGTTGTTACTTATATTTAATATCTGTAAATGAAGAGAAATTATTAAAGCTTTTCTTAGACCTAAATCAGAAATTTATACATAAATTTATTATTATATGAAAATATTATAGTATTTATAAATTTATTAGAACAAAATTTTTTAATGGTACCGAAGCTCTAAAGTAATTAGAAATTAAACAAGATTAAAATTGTAGGCCTGAAAGTATAGATTTTCTTATTAATGATGGTATTCTTATCTATATGGAAAATATTTTGTACTTGCATTCATATTATATATTAATGAATTTTTTTAATATTTATTTTTAAATACATTTTATATGTAATTATAAAATAAGGGCTGAGTATTTCGAGAATTACAATACGAAATGTAAACTACACTTTGTATTGTCAAATTATATAAAAATGACACGATTATTTTTTTGAAATGAGTAAATATAAATTATTATCCTAAATCGATTAAAATATGAATAGTAAATTGATTTATAACGTACAACCACATTGCATAATATGAATCACCCAATAAAGCACAATAATTCATAAATATTTACTTACAAATACACATGAAAATTGTAATCTGTTGTAATTAGTTGGATGTAGATAAGTAATTTTATTTTGCATATTCATCTATTAAGGTTGAACATATATTGGGCAAAAAAAGAGACCAATAATCTTATTCTTAATGCATCGTTTTTGTCAAATCACTTTAAAATAAACTAAGATTTAAAAATGAAATTTTTATAAATTTAAGATTTATTAATAATTTGTAAACAATATTTAAATATTAAAATGTATAATATTAAGATTTAAAACTTTAATAAAACACTAATTGCATCATAATTTGTAATATAAAATATATAACTACAGTATGTTATGCCATATTAAACATGATATATCAATTATACAACAATAGTTTTAGTTATAACAATAGTTATAGTTAACAATAGTTATAGTTTTTAAGGATGTTTAAACAAATTTTCTTCAATTCAGTTAATGAAATATAAAACAAAGAAATTTTTTTCAAACAAGTAAGTTTGGCGTTTAGCAGAGCTATTAGATGCATATTACACTTGATGAAAGGTATGAACATTTGTCAATAATCAAATTCAGGGTCATATTAGTATACAAGTACACCCAGGTGCAGCATAAACATAGTCTCTTTGGAGTTGAATTTTATTATCTCTATTCTTCTTATTCCGCCAACCGAGATCCTGTATTTTATCAAGAATATTGTCTCAGAGTAGAAACATAATCCAATTAACCCGGGAAACACGTGAGAAATGTAAAGATATTTCAAATACATATATATAATTTTATTGGAATTTGCATACAATTATTTAATAAGACAATTTTATGTTATCTTCTTGATTACTAAACTTTAACTTATATTGTATTAACTTATTAACTTATATTGTCAAACCGAATACAATTTTATTTTTTAATATTGGTTATAGTTAGTATATAAATATTTATATTAAAGTTAAAATGAAATCTGTTAAATTTTTAAAAGTATATTCAATAAATCTCTTTTTATATGAGTACAATAAACAATGATATAAATTATATGTACAAAAGGGATTCCAAATTTGTAACGATCAGTTTATCAAAAAAGTAGAAAATTATTAATTTACTAAAATACTAATTGAAATAGTTATACATGTTATTGGTAATTCTATGTTATTTTTATTTTTTTAGATGAGCGTGGGTTGAAATAATGATATGTGTTATTTATAATAATGTTACATAGAATTAACAATAACATTGAGAATTACAATATGGAAATTTATATGTTAAGGAGTAAGACTAATAAAGCTACGTGGATAATTTTACGAAATAATTTTAGGAAATCATTTAAACTAGTCAGGTTTATTTCATTGACGAAAACTACACACACACACACACACATATATATATATATATATATATATCTAATTAAAATATATTGCTGAGTTAATTTTATGCTGTAAATTCAAATAATATAGTAAAATTCTTTATTTCCGTACATATAAAAAAATTTTTTATGATTACATTTTTATACTAAATAAATTTTATTGAATTATATTAATATATAATATATTTTTGTCTTTTAAATGAAAAATAGAAAATTATATAAATAACAATCTAATTTTCAGAATTTTCAGAATATTATTATTAATGTTGTTTTACATAATAAGATATTTTTTTATAAAATCTTTTAAAAATATTGTATTTCAAATAATATTAGTAACATCAAATATTATTAATTTTATTTAATGTTTTTTTAAAATATAGAAAAATTTTGTCGCTTTCATTCTCCATTTCTATTATTCGTATTGCAATTTGAGTATTAATAAATTGGATCAGTATTCATCAAAATAGTTATGTATTAATATTTATTAATTAAAATATCTTGTGAAAGCTATGAATAATAGAAATATTTTTTTATATGTTAATTAATTAAAATCGATATTTGAAATTGTCATTTAAAACTTGTTTATTATCGTTTCAGGATACATGATTTCCGAATATTAAAACACATGAGTATGAAACACGTATCTCTCTATTAGGCATCTCAAAAATTATCTTTACATGCTGATCATAGAAGTTATTAAAACTTATAATAATCAAAAGACATACTACTATGAGAGCAATGATAAAAATCATAGTACTGAAAATTAAAGAAAAGAGAGTAGATAGATAGTAGTAGTAGTAGAGAGAGTAAATAAAAAGCTAAACCATAATTTAGAATTATTCGAGAACACATTAAAAACTATCATGAATGGTAATAGTCAACTTCTAGAAACGCAGAAACATAAATCTACGGAGATTACTTGAAATAGCTTGTACTTTTTACAATCACTTGACATTTTCATCAATATATAGGAGTCATGATATATATATATCTGAATCATTATGAACGACAGAACTTTATACTGACATTAACAGATTATGCACGTATGAAGCTCTTGACTATTATGCGCCTTTTTTATTACTCTGATTCAATAATTGCATCGATAAATATATGTGGCTGTTTTCACATATGCATATGTTACTATTTCTCCGTTCTCATCTGTATGAATGATTACTAAATATAATAAAATAAATGCCTGAATTTGGACTGCAATATCTAATGATTTATAGAAAACATTTTTAAATATTCCAAACATATTTTAAAATATAAGTGAACAGATAGAAAACTCTAGTATTCTATTCGTACATAAGTATTCATACAAAGTATACTATTCGTACATGAAACTTCTGTTAATAAATATTTCAATCAAATTATAAAACTGTTTAAATACTAAATAAAAGAGCGTAATTCAGAATTGAAATAGGTATGATAAATTTATTATTTTATAACTTTACTTCTATATGTGTATAATATTATATTAATTCATAAACTGAATACATGAAAATATTATCTCAATTTTAATTTATACTGGGATACGTTAAAATGAAAATAATATGAAGAAAATAAACCATAGATGAAAATAAATTTAAAATTAAAAAAAAAAATGTTTTAAAAAAATAAAGATTTTTAATTGATATTAAATAAAAAGAGTGTATTTTATAAATAATTTCAAATATGTAAATAATTTTTTATATTATTCATTA